TTCATTTCCTATGCAAATTTGTTAAATTATTATGCATAATTCATTAATGCAAATAAAATCGATTTGTGATAAAACTGAGAAAAATCATTCATTTTGTCATTATTCCAAATTGAGGATTGGTAGCGTGCATACTGTTTAAGGAAGTTAGGATTTCACTTAAATTTAAATTTACTATTCAAATACACTTCTTTGCTGATGGTTTGTAATAAACTTTCTGCTAGAATTTGAAATTTTCATTTTTCCTCCTAGAAAGTTTTTAGTTGTTACTAATATTACTGCTGTTCCATTCAGTCAGGTCATAGCGAAAAAAACTTAAAAAAAAAGGTTGATCTAGAGGAAATCATGCAATTAGGTTAATTTAGATTAAAATTTAGTACTTCTTTAGGGAATCAAAAATTGTGACTTTTTGTTCTGTTTCAGATGAAACCAGAGACGACTACAGAGAGACATTTCGATGTCAGTAAGGATCAGAAAGTACTGGAATTACAGAGAAGAATTTGCAGTCGAGTAAGTATCGTATTCAATTTATTACTTAATATCTGTTGATAATGTAAGTTTACCAGTGAATCTTTTATGCTTTTTTGCAATTTATAAAATTCAAGATTGTAAGATAAAACAAATGAGAATTTTCTTTAACAAATCAAAAAAATAATAAGTTTGTCTCAAAAAATTTGATAAAAAAAAATTTAGTATGCTACTTGCAGTGAAGTGAGTAAAGCGCATTCGCTTCGATAGATCCTTTCACTTAGCTTTATTCCTAGGGATGAATTTTAGGAAATATTACACAATAAATTGATCATTTCAGACAAACACCAATAAAGAGATGACACAGCAATATTTGGAAGGAAGGTAAATTACTGTTTTATGTTTTCGTTCTTTCTCTGTTTGGAAACTTTCGCATTTTCATTCATACTCCTATATCACTTTTTTGTTATTTAAAATATTAATTTTCTAATGTTTTATTTAATATTTTTACTCTAGCTAATGTTTGGTTTGTATTCATGGTCTTCAGATGCTAGTGCGTTTTTGTATTCCTGAATGCCTGAAGCACTTGCAGGCTTGTTAAATGTTGTTTAGGAAAATGACTTTCTCCATTTACTATGAAATGCTTTCATATTATGCTTTCACCTATTCCATTTTCTCGTGCATCATTCTTGTGTGGTTCAAAATTTCTAAAAATGATACATTTACAGGGAAGTTGCTCTGGAGAATCAGCTGTTATTATATAAAATGGATGAGAAAGGAACTGGTTGTGAGTCAGCGCAGAATAAACAAATTAAAGTGAATGTTGGATGTGGAGTTGCAAATAAAAGAGAAGGATGGAAGGCGGATGAGTCACTGAAAATTTTGGAAGACAATGTAATTAATTTAATCGAAGCTGAGGTTCGTTACTATGCTTCATATTTTTAATAAGCTATGCATTTGAATTTTAAGCGCTTGAGCACATTATTACTTTGACATTTTACTGATAGCATATGATTTATACAGTTATCTGGAAGGAAATAAATATGACACAGTAACACCGCTGCATAACTTAATTTCTATTAGGTGCTGTTATGTAAGCAGTTATGCAAATATTATTTGTATTTAATTATTAACAAAGTTGAGATTCTTGATCTTGGAACTTTTTGTTTATCTTTAATATGTTTTTTTTTTTTTTTTTTTTTTTTAAAGATAATCAAAGGGATTTTTTCTTCTTCCATGCAAATATCAAATTAACAATTTTCTCAAATTTTTAACTTTCAGATCATGTCAATGGGAACGGATATTCAGTGGACGGATATATGTGGTTTGGAGCCGGCAAAAAAGCACTTAGAGAAATTATCGTTCTTCCGTTTCTCAGACCGTATGATTTTATGTATCTAACATTTATTTATACAGTCAGTGCAGTGTCAGTGCAGATATTTTTATAAATTACTTTACTATATGTGAATATCGAAACAAAGTATGGTTATTTCTCCACGAAATAATAGTATTAATTTTTGTAATGTTTATTTACATTCAGTTAATAATGATATTAAGAAATGCTTGGATAATGTTCACATATCAAAATTAAATTTGAAAAAAGTTAAAGTATTATATGTTGAAGCGCTTCGATGAAATCGAATATTCATATATAAAATTATCAGAAAATGACAGAAAATATAAAATTTTCGTATCGTTTCTTATCGATTGTTTGTTCTATTTTCTCTACATCCCATCTCTATAATGTGTACGATTTCAGTGACATTTTCAAGGGTATACGTGCACCACCTAAAGGTGTGTTGCTTTTCGGACCACCTGGTACTGGCAAAACCATGATTGGTTAGTATATATTGTTACTAGTTAAAGGTTTAAATATTTTTATGAATTTGTATGAATAATATCTTGAGTTCTATGAAAATACTATTGCAGGACGATGTGTTGCATCGCAATGTAAAGCAACATTTTTCAATATAGCCGCATCGTCTATTACGTCAAAATGGGTTGGTGAAGGTGAAAAACTTGTTAGGGCTCTTTTTGCGATAGCACGGGTTTTACAGCCTTCTGTGATTTTCATTGATGAAGTGAGCTGAGTTTTACTTTACCTTGTTCCAAAGAACATAATTAGCGGCCAAAAATTTCCAATAAAATCTAGATTTCACATCATTTTATTGCTAACTTTTTTTTATTGCTATGCTATAAATGAGCGTAAATTTTCAAAAACTTCGAAATAGTATTTTTTCTTTACACTACATCGTTTATTTATTTGTTTTCATAAAAGACGGTTTATTTGAAGATGTTAGATACGAGCATTCTCTTATACTTTCCATATTGTGCATCCTAGTTGTTGAAGCTCGTCGATCTATACTGAATAATATTAAAAGTGTAAAGTCATTAATTAATTCAGTTATTACTAACTGTAATTTCAGATTGATTTTTTGCTTAAAAGTGGCAATGAGAGTGAGCATGAGTCATCAAGACGAATAAAGACTGAATTTCTTATCCATTTGGATGGTGTTGCAACTACCTTTGATGAAAGAATCCTTATTTTAGGAGCTACAAACAGGTACAACTTTCTATTATTTTACATTCCTTTTTTTTTTTTTTTTTCATTGATTTTTTCTTCAGATGAATTTTTCATTCATTATTAAAAATACGTTATTTCGAATTCATTTTTCTGTTGTTCGCTTTTGAGGAAGTGTTTGAATTGACTAGAGAAGATAAAGCTACATTGTGTGAATTATTTCCATTTTCATTTTTACTTATATTTCATTATTTTTCTTTTTAAGACCTGAGGAATTGGATTCAGCTGTTAAACATCATTTTGCGAAACGTCTGTACATTGGTTTACCATCTGATGCTGCAAGAGCACAAATGATTCTCTTACTTCTCAGCGATCAAGAACATAATCTTTCGGATAGCGATGTACAGTCCATAGCGAAATTAACAGGCGGTGAGTGTGGCAAAATTTATTATAATTAAGTGATTATTCATTGAAAAAGTATTTAATTCTTTTATTATTACAGGTGAAATGAATTTCATTACCGTGAATGTTACAGGCTATTCTGGAGCAGATATAAAACAACTGTGCTCCGAAGCAGCAATGATTCCAGTTCGTAATATTGTTGATTCATCCTCACTTGATCTTGTTTCTATCAGCGCTGAAGAGGTTAGTTTTCATAAATTTTCTCAAGAATTTTCTCTGAAAGATGAAATTGTGCATTAGAAATGAAATGAAATAAAAAAGAGCACTTGATTTCGGAATGTTATCGATTTCTTTGAATAGTTCTTACCACGAAAAATATTATTAACCCAGTGAATCCAGTTTTTCATTAATTTTCATTATTAGTAATCCTTGCTATCTTTGTTTTTTTTTTTTTTTCTTCTTTTCGTCAAGATAAAAATAATGCTTGTTCAGATCCGTCCAATCTGTTTTTCGGATTTCGAAGTAGCAATGCGTTCTGTTCGCCCAACGGTTGTTGCAGAGGATTTAGAAGGGTATCAGGCATGGAACAAACAATATGGCTCTTTTGTTTCGGAATAAAACGTTTTGAATGATGTTTTGAATGAGAGTCGTAGAAAATTGGTGCCATTATTTTAGGATTCATCTATACTTCCAAGAGTTATGGTTATATCCTTTCTGATGAAATTTTTGTGAGTATAAACTTCTATGTGAGTATAAACTTCTGCTGTATTTCTGTTCACTGTTATGTTTTTGATAAAGAGTTCTGCTATTATCCATTTCCGTTTCCATACTATATGTGGTATGCTGACCTTTGCGTTTATATTCAGCAGTTTTAAGAACTTTTCGAGTTTAATAAAACTTTTCTTTTTTGGCCTTGATTTTGAATAAAGAATTTGTTGTACAGTTAACCTAGCCAGTTGATTACTTTTCCAGTTTCAAATTGCTATTCTTATAGTCCAAAACATATATATATATAGTGAAAGTATTACTGAATACTGCATATAAAGTTGTAAAAATACGCGACAGGAGATGCATATATGCTACTTTAAGCATTACATATGTCACAAATTAATTAGTCATTCTAGATACTTCTAAAATTGTGGTTATAGTAGATTAGTTTTTAGACATAATTATGTTTTGCATTTGAAGTTGGGATTGTCAGAATTAAATTATGGTGGAGCAAAACGAATGAGAAAATTATCGGTCGCAGGTTTGTGTACAATTTTTTTTCAATTAATTTTTTTTTTGCTAAAGCTCAAGTGTCGATCGATTGTGATCCTTAAGTTTATTATCTTATTTCTTAGCACTAAGGTAAAAATAATGAGTAGAATGTTCATTCAGATGGATTATAAATGAATTTGTTTCATGCATTTACATACAGTTAACATTCTTTAAGTGAATATTTGTGTATGGAATGATTCAAAAGATTAATTGCACTGGACCAAATGTTACTAGATTAATATTACTTAAAATCCTGAAAAGCAATTTCACTATAAAATTCTTACTTTTTCAGCTTAAAGAAATTGATGCAGAGCTTGAAACATGTGCAGATCTTCAGAGAAGAAATACTCTGATGGATTCACATTCTGACTTAGTAGAACTTATTGCACTTTTGACTGGTAATAAGATTTCAGCTTTGATATAAAATGAATTTCACATTTTTTTTTTATCTAAAGACTTACCATTAATCAGTGCAATAAGTTTTTAGCATTTAATGCATACATAAATCTTGCTAAAATTCTGGATATTAATGAAGAAATTGTACTGTTTATTCCATTATAGTTAATTAAGTAGTAATGATATAGTTAAGTAATAATGATTTTATTGATTAAAAAAAAAGCTTTGACTAAAGTTTGAATTATTTAATTTTTCGAAACTAAGTGTGATTTTTAATACATTATGTATATTTTTGAAATTTTAGAAAATTTATTCTATATCGTTTTGTAAGCATTGTTAATTTTATTGCAGAAAATGAAACAACTTCGGTGACGGGACAAGATTTTAATGAAACTCATACGAGCAGTGACGTGCAAGATTCTAGTCAATTAATTGAAATGCACTGTCTTGCACTGTACAATCGAACTATTGATCGTGCGGTGCATTTCCACGACGCTGTCATTTTAGATTTTGTTGAAGATTCAAGTGAAGAAGATGACCTCAAGGTATGTTAGGCTAACTAATTTTTGTAACTTTTTTTTTACAATGAAACCTGATGTAGAACGTTGAAAATTGGTTACATGAATAAATTTTTTTATTGATAAAGTGAAACTCCAAAATTTTTAGACAGTATTTTAGATGATTATAGGTCAAAGTATTATATGGTCATCCTCCAGAAGCAGCAATGAGACCTTGCGAATATTTTCTTAATGATCGTTGTAATGTCACTTTTCGCATGGTGAAGAAGTTTCGTTTTCAGCCCTTTGAGAATATGCATCTTGCCGTGTATTATTAGCATTGATGAATTGCTTACAAAATAAAGATTTAATTATTACCTCTTTCGATCAAAAAAAAAAAAAAAAAAGTACTTTTTTATTTAGAATGGTAAGAGAAAACTCACTTGTACTTGTATTGGGTGAAAATAAATTATGGAGCAGTGCTCGAGTTACTGTAATGGATGGTGAGAAATTGGCAGTTCTTACCGGTTATTGCTTACCGGGAAAGGAATTGCTGTGAATCCTAATAAGATTTATCCAATCCCGGAACTAGCTAATGACGACGAAGGTTTTTGTTAAGCTCAAATTTTTTCTTTTGAAATTATATTTTTTAAAATTCTAAAACAATTGAAGTTTCTTTCTGTTCAAATGAAATATAAATTTGATGCATCTTCTTTAGCTACTCAGTTAAGCAATTATTTTGTGAAGTAGGCTTAAAATGCTAGTCTTATAATCATTTCAAATGATATTGTCTTGTTTCTTTAGTTATTTCAATATTTAGCCAATTTGATTATTGTTTTCCAGACAAAATCAATCTCTGTAATCAATAAGCTTTTTTTAATGGGATATAAATTTGAACTGGAACTACATATGCTTTAGATGAAGCTGCTACGAATGATTTAGCAACAACTTCATGAAAAGAATATAAGCAGGAAAGGCGTGGAAATGTCACTATCGGCGAATCGGTGATTGAGAGAAGCATACACGTGGTATCGGTATCGGGATGAAGCTATTGCTGAAAATGGGTTATCGGGCTGGCGAAAGACTTGGTAGAAAATCTGATGGTATCGTACATGTCATACAAACAGTGATCTTCCCCAAAAATATGTGAAATTTCACTTTTCTCAGTTTTCTTCTAGTGTTCTTGTTATATCTGTAGAGAAATGGTATGAGTTAATGATGTAGTCAAAATATCTTCTAATGATATTGTTATATCAGTAGAGTAATGGTATGAGTTAATGAATTAATCAAAATGTCTTCTACTGATATTTTTATATCTGCAGAGAAGTGGCATGAATTAACCAAAATATCTTCTTGTGATATTGTTATATCTGTGGAGAAATGGTATAAGTTGATGAAGTAATCAAAATTTCTTCTGGTTATCTTGTTATATCTGCAGAGAAATGGTATGAGTTAATGAATTAATGAGGATGACCTCTACTGATATTGTTATATTATCTTGTTATATCTGTAGAGAAATGGTATGAGTTAATGATGTAATCAAAATATCTTCTAATGATATTGTTATATCTGTGGAGAAATGGTATGAGTTAATGAATTAATCAAAATGTCTTCTACTGATATTTTTATATCTGCAGAGAAGTGGCATGAATTAATCAAAATATCTTCTAGTGTTCTTGTTATATCTGTAGAGAAATGGTATGAGTTAATGATTTAATCAAAATATCTTCTAATGATATTGTTATATCTGTAGAGAAATGGTATGAGTTAATGAATTAATCAAAATGTCTTCTACTGATATTTTTATATCTGCAGAGAAGTGGCATGAATTAACCAAAATATCTTCTTGTGATATTGTTATATCTGTGGAGAAATGGTATGAGTTAATGAAGTAATCAAAATTTCTTCTGGTGATCTTGTTATATCTGCAGAGAAATGGTATGAGTTAATGATGTAATCAAAATATCTTCTAATAATATCTTCTAAAAAAAAAAAAAAAAATATAACAGTGATCTTCCCCAAAAATATGTGAAATTTCACTTTTCTCAGTTTTCTTCTAGTGTTATTGTTATATCTGTGGAGAAATGGATGAGTTAATGAATTAATGAAAATGACTTCTACTGATATTGTCATAAATGCAGAGAAATGGTACGAGTTAATGAAGTAATCAAAATTTCTTCTAGTGATATTGTTATATCTGTGGAGAAATGGTATGAGTTAATGAATTAATCAGAATGACTTCTACTGATATTGTTATATCTGCAGAGAAATGGTATGAGTTAATGAAGTAATCAAAATTTCTTCTAGTGATATTGTTATATCTGCAGAGAAATGGTATGAGTTAATGAATTAATCAGGATGACTTCTACTGATATTGTTATATCTGTGGAGAAATGGTATGAGTTAATGAATTAATGAGAATGACTTCTACTGATATTGTTATATCTGCAGAGAAATGGTATGAGTTAATGAAGTAATCAAAATGTCTTCTACTGATATTTTTATATCTGCAGAGAAGTGGCATGAATTAATCAAAATATCTTCTTGTGATATTGTTATATCTGTGGAGAAATGGTATGAATTAATCAAAATATCTTCTTGTGATATTGTTATATCTGCAGAGAAATGGTATAAGTTGATGAAGTAATTAAATATCTTCTAATGATATTGTTATATCTGTAGAGAAATGGTATGAGTTAATGAATTATTCAAAATGTCTTCTAGTGATATTGTTATATCAGCAGAAAAGTGGCATGAATTAATCAAAATGTCTTCTAGTGATATTGTTATATCTGTGGAGAAATGGTATGAATTAATCAAAATATCTTCTTGTGATATTGTTATATCAGCAGAAAAGTGGCATGAGTTAATCAAAATATCTTCTTGTGATATTGTTATATCTGCAGAGAAATGGTATAAGTTGATGAAGTAATCAAAATTTCTTCTAGTGTTCTTGTTATATCTGTAGAGAAATGGTATGAGTTAATGATTTAGTCAAAATTTCTTTAATGACATTGTTATATCAGTAGAGTAATGGTATGAGTTAATGAATTAATCAAAATATCTTCTGCTGATATTTTTATATCTGCAGAGAAGTGGCATGAATTAATCAAAATATCTTCTTGTGATATTGTTATATCTGTGGAGAAATGGTATGAGTTAATGAATTAATCAAAATGTCTTCTAGTGATATTGTTATATCTGTGGAGAAATGGTATGAGTTAATGAATTAATGAGAATGACTTCTACTGATATTGTTATATCTGCAGAGAAATGGTATGAGTTAATGAAGTAATCAAAATTTCTTCTAGTGTTATTGTTATATCTGTAGAGAAATGGTATGAGTTAATGAATTAATCAAAATATCTTCTTGTGATATTGTTATATCTGTGGAGAAATGGTATGAGTTAATGAATTAATCAAAATGTCTTCTACTGATATTTTTATATCTGCAGAGAAGAGGCATGAATTAATCAAAATATCTTCTTGTGATATTGTTATATCAGCAGAAAAGTGGCATGAATTAATCAAAATATCTTCTTGTGATATTGTTATATCTGTGGAGAAATGGTATGAGTTAATGAATTAATCAAAATGTCTTCTACTGATATTGTTATATCTACAGAGAAATGGTATGAGTTAATGAATTAATGAGAATGACTTCTACTGATATTGTTATATCTGCAGAGAAATGGTATGAGTTAATGAATTAATCAAAATTTCTTCTGGTTATCTTGTTATATCTATAGAGAAATGGTATGAGTTAATGAATTAATCAAAATATCTTCTTGTGATATTGTTATATCTGTGGAGAAATGGTATGAATTAATCAAAATATCTTCTTGTGATATTGTTATATCTGTGGAGAAATGGTATGAGTTAATGAATTAATCAAAATGTCTTCTAGTGATATTGTTATATCTGCAGAAAAGTGGCATGAATTAATCAAAATGTCTTCTAGTGATATTGTTATATCTGTGGAGAAATGGTATGAATTAATCAAAATATCTTCTTGTGATATTGTTATATCTGCAGAAAAGTGGCATGAGTTAATCAAAATATCTTCTTGTGATATTGTTATATCTGCAGAGAAATGGTATAAGTTAATGAAGTAATCAAAATTTCTTCTAGTGTTCTTGTTATATCTGTAGAGAAATGGTATGAGTTAATGATTTAATCAAAATTTCTTTAATGATATTGTTATATCAGTAGAGTAATGGTATGAGTTAATGAATTAATCAAAATATCTTCTGCTGATATTTTTATATCTGCAGAGAAGTGGCATGAATTAATCAAAATATCTTCTTGTGATATTGTTATATCTGTGGAGAAATGGTATGAGTTAATGAATTAATGAAAATGTCTTCTACTGATATTGTCATATCTGCAGAGAAATGGTACGAGTTAATGAAGTAATCAAAATTTCTTCTAGTGTTCTTGTTATATCTGTAGAGAAATGGTATGAGTTAATGAATTAATCAAAATATCTTCTTGTGATATTGTTATATCTGTGGAGAAATGGTATGAGTTAATGAATTAATCAAAATGTCTTCTACTGATATTTTTATATCTGCAGAGAAGTGGCATGAATTAATCAAAATATCTTCTTGTGATATTGTTATATCTGTAGAGAAATGGTATGAGTTAATCAAAATATCTTCTTGTGATTTTGTTATATCAGCAGAAAAGTGGCATGAATTAATCAAAATATCTTCTTGTGATATTGTTATATCTGCAGAGAAATGGTATGAGTTAATGAAGTAATCAAAATTTCTTCTAGTGTTCTTGTTATATCTGTAGAGAAATGGTATGAGTTAATGAATTAATCAAAATATCTTTAATGATATTGTTATATCTGTAGAGAAATGGTATGAGTTAATGAATTAATCAAAATATCTTCTTGTGATATTGTTATATCTGTGGAGAAATGGTATGAGTTAATGAATTAATCAAAATGTCTTCTAGTGATATTGTTATATCTGTGGAGAAATGGTATGAGTTAATGAATTAATGAGAATGACTTCTACTGATATTGTTATATCTGTGGAGAAATGGTATGAGTTAATGAATTAATGAAAATGACTTCTACTGATATTGTTATATCTGCAGAGAAATGGTATAAGTTGATGAAGTAATCAAAATTTCTTCTGGTTATATTGTTATATCTGCAGAGAAATGGTATGAGTTAATGAATTAATGAGGATGACCTCTACTGATATTGTTATATCTGTGGAGAAATGGATGAGTTAATGAATTAATGAAAATGACTTCTGCTGATATTGTTATAAATGCAGAGAAATGGTATGAGTTAATGAAGTAATCAAAATGTCTTCTAGTGATATTGTTATATCTGTGGAGAAATGGTATGAGTTAATGAATTAATCAAAATGTCTTCTACTGATATTGTTATATCTGCAGAGAAATGGTATGAGTTAATGAATTAATGAAAATGTCTTCTACTGATATTGTTATATCTGCAGAGAAATGGTATGAGCTAATGAAGTAATCAAAATTTCTTCTAGTGATATTGTTATATCTGTAGAGAAATGGTATGAGTTAATGAATTAATCAAAATATCTTCTTGTGATATTGTTATATCTGTGGAGAAATGGTATGAGTTAATGAATTAATCAAAATGTCTTCTACTGATATTTTTATATCTGCAGAGAAGTGGCATGAATTAATCAAAATATCTTCTTGTGATATTGTTATATCTGTGGAGAAATGGTATGAGTTAATGAATTAATGAAAATGTCTTCTACTGATATTGTTATATCTGCAGAGAAATGGTATGAGTTAATGAATTAATCAAAATTTCTTCTAGTGATATTGTTATATCTGTAGAGAAATGGTATGAGTTAATGATTTAATCAAAATTTCTTTAATGATATTGTTATATCAGTAGAGAAATGGTATGAGTTAATGAATTAATCAAAATATCTTCTGCTGATATTGT